CAGCCCTAAGAAATGTATTTATAGTCTAATCGAGGAGACTGGCACAAAAACTGATGATTTCTACGTTTTGTTTGTTTGTTTGTTTGTTTTGTTTTGTTTTGACACAGAGTTTTGCTGTCGTTGGTCAGGCTGGAGTGCAATGGCGTGATCTTGGCTCACTGCAACCTCCGCCTCCCGGGTTTAAGCAATTCTCCTGCCTCCGCTTCCCAAGTAGCTGGGACTACAGGCGCACACCACCATGCCTGGCTAATTTTTGTATTTTTAGTAGAGACAGGGTTTCACCGTGTTGACCAGGATAGTCTTGATCTCTTGACCTCGTGATCTGCCCACCTCAGCCTCCCAAAGTGCTGGGATTACAGGTGTGAGCCACCGTGCCCATCCTATGTATGGGTAGTATTATTATCTCCACTTTATATATGAGGAAACAGCACAGTCAAGCTAAGTAGCTTGCCCTAGTCACACAGCCTTTGACTAAAATATCCAGGATTGAAACCCAAGATGGTCAATCAATCAGAGCTTATGACATTAACCACTAGACTATGCTGCCTCTTGCTGCAGTGTCTGGGTGCTAGAAGGCTGTGGGATGCTCTAATTGGAAAAATAATCGGCCACCTTACTAAGAAAAAATTGTGCAGAGGAAGACAGGTTTCCATGTAGTGGAAAGAGAGCCAGAGTCAGAATCAGAAGACCTGAATGTTGATTCTGATGCTGGTAGTAATTGACTTTGCAACCTGGAGAGTCATTTAACTTCAGTGAGGCTCAACTTCCTCATAGTTAATATGAGGTTAATAATATCAATCTTCCAAATATCATTTGTGTCAGATAGAATGTATGAAAGTGTCTCAAACAGCTCCTAGCACTAACTAAAGTTTTGCGTGGAAGATGAATGGGAGATAAATGAGGGATGCTTCAGAGTTACAGGTTTGATTGGGTTTAAAGAAAGTGTAAAGTTCATAAAGAAGGACAAAATAAAAATCAAACACATGGAGAATGTTCTCTCAATGACTCCAGGGGCGTGTGTGTGTGTGTGTGTGTGTGTGTGTGTGTGTGTAATAGCTACCATTTTTAGAGTAACTATCATTGATAGAGTTCTTACTCTGTCCTAGTACTGTACTATGGGCCATATGTCTTCAATAACCATGATTTAGGGACTTTTTAAATGTGATTTGGGCTTTACTATTGCATGCATTTCATAGATGCTTAACCATGGACCATTCTGAGCTACAATGGTTTAATATAGCTTCTCTGCAGATCTCTGCAAAACCTAGCAACAGGCTGTGTTTGATGCAAAGATGTGACAGCTCAGAACACATCACTTGTGCTTGCTCCCCCTCCTGATGCTCCTCCCCATGTCTCCCTCATTCTTGCTTACCCACAATTGTGCTCCTTAATAAAATATTAGCCCCATAAGCTTTTGCCTGAAGCTCTGCTTTTGAGGAAACCTAGGCTAAGGCAGATCTTGAAAAAATTTTTTTTCTGTGGTAAAAGAAAACAGATAGAAGCCAATAAACATAGGTACAAGATCTAGCTTTATATATGCAAAATGTTATCTGGATTGTCTCTTTTCATACTTTTCTGTATTTTCTATTTTAATTATTATTATTATTTTTGAGATAGTGTCTTGCTCTGTCGCCTGGGCTGGAGTGTAGTGTGTGATCATGGCTCACTGCAGCCCTGCCCTCCAGTGCTCAAATGTTCCCCTCACCTCAGCCTCCCGAGTAGCTGGGACTACAGGCATGCGCCACCATGCCCAGCTAATTTGTGTATTTCTTGTAGAAATGGGGTTTCACCATGTTGCCCAGGCTGGTCTTGGGTTCACGTGATCTGCCTGCCTCAGCCTCCCAAAGTGATTACAGGTGTGAGCCACTGCAACTGTCCTATTTTAGATTTTTTAAACAGTAGAAAGTTTATTTTAATAAACTATTTAGAGGTACACATTTCTTTCTTCTGAAATTAACATATGATGTACAGACATAAGCTGAAAAGTCATAGTGAGAATAAAAAATATTCTTTTCTGTAGATATTCCGTTAGTGTGAATTCAGGAGTAGCTTCAGATGTTTTCATAATCTACTATTTTACACTCTCATTATTTCAGTTTTATATTACTTAGGTTTAAAGAAATAATCCATATTGATTTTCATATGTTGGAACAATCAGCTGGAACATACAGCAATGTAGTAAACATGTCAGCCATATTAAATGCATTTCAATTATTCTCCAGGCTCCTTAGGTTTTAAATATAATCACATTACTTACAATGCCCTGGAATTTCAAAAAATTGTCCAACAATGTTCTGAGAGTTATTTCAAGCTGCATTCCATTCAGAGAGCCCTGAAAAGTCTCTTTTGGTAAAGGTCAAATGTGCGGTCTACACAGTATAGAGAACCCCAAAGTCAACAACATTTCCTTGTTAGTGTTTATTCCCCAGGATGAACATTAAAGTTACAAAAATGAAGGCTGTCTTGGATTTTGCATCCTTTTACCAGAAAGGGGATTAAATGTGACTTTCACTTTCTCACAAGTGGCCTCATCTGTAGTGAGAATCAGACTGGGAGACTGGGAAAGGGGCTCTCAGCCATTATCCCCTCCAAATGACCCATTTCATAGAGGAGAAAACTGAGACCAGAGACAAGGCATGTCCTCTCAGAGAACTACGTGCTGACCGGATAACTGACAGTCACTGAGTGGGCAGCATTTACATTTCAAAAAGTTAGAAGAAAACAAGTCAGCTAGTGACTCAGCTCGTCCATTTGATACATGAGAACCTCTCCGGAGAAGACCTGAACTGTTTTTGGAGGCGCTAAATCCATCACTCTGAAGTTTTCTGGAATGATGGTTTAACTTTTGCTCTTTCTGGTTATGCTGGCATGAGGTAAGCAGGGTTGGTATCTAGCTGTGTAGTTCTTTCTTTCTTTCTTTCTTTTTTTTTTTTTTAAGATAAAGTCTCACTCTGTCGTCTAGGCTGGAGTGCAGTGGGGCGATCTCAGCGCACTGCAGCCTCCACCTCTTGGGTTCAAGCGATTCTCCTGCCTCAGCCTCCCGAGTAGCTGAGATTGCAGCTCTCTGCCACCACACCCAGCTAATTTTTTGTGTTTTTAGTAGAGACAAGGTTTCGCCATGTTGGCCAGGCTGTTCTCAAACTCCTGACCTCAGGTGATCCACCTGCCTCAGCCTCCCAGTGCTGGTATTACAGGCGTGAGTCACCACCCCTGGCCCTGTGTAGTTACTTCTTTGCAGGGAGTAATGTAGTCATTTTTTGACCCATGATCTGTCAATCCTACACCCTGGCACTTGAAAGCAAGGGACCATGTCCTAGCCAGAGTTGCTTTGCTTCTCTACAGAGATAAGACCAGCGTCTTCTTGTGTTTCCTAGCCTGAGCTCTGTGTGGACCAACTAAGATTGAATCCTGGTTCTCCCAGGATTGATCTTGGGTAAGTGAGTTGATTTTGTATAAGTAACTTACCTTTGTCTATCTTCCTTTCCTCATCTGTAACATGGAGATAATTTTAATACCTATTCTGCATATAAAGTGAGGGCTACAGTGACTTTTACATAAGTAAACATCTGATGAATATTGGCTATTGATAAGTGCTCAATAAATATTTATTAGAAAAAATGTATTAAGGGGGAAGAGAGAGAATTGCCACAAGAAGAAAGTTATTGATATTTTTCTCAAATCATCCCAGGTACTGCAATTCCCCACATTTCAAGTACTCTAGCATAATTTCTCAGGCTCATGGAAGGAAAGAGGAAGCACAGCTAGCTTTTCTTTTTCTGTTTTTTTTTTTTTTTTAACAGAACCATGTGAAATTTACATATATAAGGCATGGTCTGCTCCAAAAACTTAGGGTCTAAATGTAGCCACATTGATCCCACGCAAGCCACCACAATTGTTAACTACAACACTCAAGTGCCTCATAAAAAGCATGTGCAAAGTCTCCGCCTTTGTCCGGAATCCCTGGGGCTGACTCAAAGGGGTCAGATCTCTTTCAAATGGCATGTGGAGAGAGAACTGGCCTCCCCTCGTTTTTACCTCTGCTGCTCCTCCTGGTCAGATCCTGCACCCTGGGTGTGGATGGACGTCCAGGCTCCCCAGGCAGCACCCAGCTAGGACCCAGTGACAACTCTTGGGTTGGTGGCAACATCCCTGTGAGGTCAGGGTCTCAGGAGCAGCAGGGGTCTCCAGGACACATAGCAGCAAAAACCCCACCCTTCCAGGCCAAACCAGCCCTTGCCAAGGGCCACAAGCCCTGTGCTCAGAACCTAGGTCAGCACCTTGATATCCCTTGTCTTCTCACTACGTATTTTTAGGATTTTTCACCTGTGCAGACGTGTGTCCGCCTCCTCCCCAACTATGTTAGTTTGCCAGGCCTGCTCTAAGAAACTGGGTGGCTTAAACAGCAGACATGTATTTTTCTCACAATTCTGGAGACTGGAAGCCTGAGATCAAGGTGTTGGCTTCTTCTGAGGCCTCTCTCCTTGGTTCACATGTGGCTGCCTTCTCCCTACGTCTTCACTTGGCCCAATCGCCAAACGCAGTGCCTTCTGAGATACTGGGGGTTACAATTTCAGCATAGGAAATTTGAGGGCAGGGTGAGGGGACACAGTTCAGCCCATAACACCAACAATTAATTGTGCAAACTTAAGGTATAAGTTAACTTTTTTAATTCAAGAAAAAGACAGGGAGGCCGAGGCGGGTCCACCCGCCTCAATCACGAGGTCAAGACCATCCTGGCCAACATGGTAAAATGCTGTCTCTACTAAAAATACAAAAATTAGCCAGGTGAGGTGGTGTGCACCTGTAATCCCAGCTACTTGGGAGGCTGAGGCAGGAGAATCACTTGAACCCAGGAGGTGGAGGTTGCAGTGAGTCAAGATCACACCACTGCACTCCAGCCTGGGCGACAAGAGCAAAAACTCCGTCAAAAAAAGAAAAAGAAAAAGAAATAAATAAAAAATTAAAAATAAATAAAAAGGGAGGAGAAGAGAGAGAGAGAAAGAGAATGGTGCGTAGTGAGGGGGGCCTCATTATATCCTTCCAGGACAATGGGTGGCCCGTGCTTACCATACTGAGGTGGCCACTCAAGTGGCTGTTCAAACATTTAAAGCGCATCCTACTAAATACAGAAGGTCTCTGTAAGACAGATGAGCCCAGAGCTTCTGTGGCTGAAATGGGAGTGAGGGGCTGAGATCCCTCCCAACCCCCTTCTCACTAAATCAGCTCTGACAAGCACAGGATAAAAACCTTTGACCTGGACGATTCCAGGTATCCGGGCTGCTTTTGTCATGTTTTCACACACATACAGTTCATCGAGGTTTGGAACGGGGACCTACGAGATCATCTGCAGATTCTTAGCTTTGGAGACATAACTGTCGCTAGCACGGAGCCCAGGTTCACTGTGAAGTTGTCTGGCTGAGCTCCCGCAATCCTGCCACCAGCCGGTGCTCGTGTGACCTGCTCTGTTTTTCCACTTTACTTCTTTTTAGACATGGGCTTGCTAATCACCCTCCTCAACTGTGACACCCAAGAAAAGCTGAGAGAGTAAAGTTATATGCAGCCTTCCTGTGACCTGTTTGCATGTACCCGGTCAATAAAACTCAGGCAGAGTGACAGTGACAGCTGCCTTGTGGCATTCAGAGGGAATCGAGCAGTTTAGCAGCCTCCTGGACAAGTATATCATTACAGCCCAGCTGCTCAGAGAAAAACACCTAAACGCTGGGGGACAGGCACAGCTCCTGCAGCCACCCAGGGACCTGCCTCGGATACCTGCAAGGCCTGATCAAGACTCTCCGGGCAGCTTTCTCCACGCTAGGACCGCCTAGTCCCAAGTTGGTTCTCACCCGGACGCAGGCTCCCTGCCTGCAACAGCCTGGCTTTTAGCAGCTGAGAGGACACAGTCCCTGCTGGGAGGTGGCAGAGGAGAGTGAATAGAAGGGAAGGTACGATGGGGGCCAGGCAGTCAAGGGCCAGCTCCAAGGATAAGGGCCCCAAGAGGATACTGTTCACGGGGAGGAGACAGAAGTTTTCCCCGTGGGACGATGCCCTGCTCCCGGGAAGGGACCCGCGGTCTCTGCTGAAGCGAGGCATGCACCACGTCAGCTTCAGCCTGGTCACCAGAGGAATGACAGACATCCCCGACTTTCTGTGGGGCTTGTCCGAGGTCCAGAAACTCAATCTGTCTCACAACCAGCTCCGGGTTCTCCCTCCCGAGGTGGGGAAACTGACCCGGATCGTGGTCCTGAACTTGTGCGGGAACCGCCTGAAGAGCCTGCCCAGAGAAGTGAGCCTCCTGCAAGGCCTCAGGGTCCTGTTTGTCAACATGAACTGCCTGACCGAGGTGCCGGCCGAGCTGAGCTTGTGCCGAAAGCTGGAGGTCCTGAGCTTGTCGCACAACTGCCTGTCCCAGCTCCCTGCGTGCTTCGCTGACCTCTCCAGACTGAGGAAGCTGAACCTCAGCAACAACCTCTTCGCGCACATCCCCATGTGTGTGTTCTCCCTGAAGGAACTGATTTTCTTGCACGTGGGCTCAAATCGCCTGGAAAACATCGCTGAGAGCATCCAGCACCTGACCAGCCTTCAGATCTTCATTGCAGAGGCCAACAATATCCACTCCTTCCCGAGGTCGCTTTGCCTGGTCACCAGCCTGGAGCTGCTGAACCTCAACAACAACGACATCCAGACCCTCCCGAGCGAACTCCACCTGCTGTGTAGACTGGTGAGGATCGCCTGGAATCCCATGGACAAAGGGCTCCACATTTCCCACAACCCTTTATCCAAGCCTCTGCCGGAGCTGGTGGAGGGGGGCCTGGAGATGCTCTTCGGCTACCTGAAGGACAAAAAACACACATGATGTGGGTCCTGGAGGCCTGGATGGGAGGCAGCTCACCTGGACTCGGTCAACCGGGGTACTTCTCTCATCTCAGCTTTCTACTCTCACCCTTAGTGTCTGGCAATGCTTTTGTTAATATTTGCTAAGTCGCTGTTGAACATCCATGTTAAGGAGGTGTTTGCTTTTAACTCTGTATGTTCTTAATAACCTCTGGATCATCATGTTCATCTCATCCTAAACATAAATTGAAAGGGGGTTGGTTTTCCCCAAAGAGAACTAACAGTTCTGATTCTTCTAAGGAGCAGTGAGATTCAGCCCTTGGGAGAGTGGACACCTAACAGGTCTGAATTCCATGTAATTCAAAAGGCAAATATTTGCTAAGTACTGTGTGCCAAGTACAGTATGAGGTGCTGAAACCTGGTTTCAGATAGTTTCTACCCTTCAATCAGCAACCTGTGGCCAGGTGGCAACGGCAAGACACATTCCTCCATCAGCCTCCATGAAGCATCACTTGGGACCAAAAGGCAAACCACAGTGGGCTCTGTCCCCAGTGACCAAAACAGGCAGAGCTTTCCCCTTAAGTTCTGGGGGACAATCATAGGAATTTTTCTTTCATGCGGCTGTAGAGGAATAACCAAGCCACTCATGCTAATGTCTGGTGGTGAGTAATGGGTAGAAGGATGGCTTTCAGATAATAAATATGAACTGATTTAATGTGTATTCCAGCCTTCCTTCCCAGTCATCTTCCACTCATTGTCATGTCCTTGAACTTCTTTGCTAGACACTAGGCAATCAGCAGATGATCCCATTCTAATTTCACTTCTCCATGACTACACCTGCCCTCTCAGAGATAAACTACTAAATGGGATAACTTGGCCAACAATGACCAAAAGGCAGCAAAGAGGGGGAAAGACATAGACAAGTCATGCAAAAAAGTAATTACCCTTTTACAATTTGGAGGAGGGTAATATTGACTTTCCCATGTTAACATTAAAAAAAAAAAAAAACGAGTTTAATGACATTTAAAAGCTCCTTGGAAAAAAGGCTCTATAAAAACATGAAGCTTGTTTTTTATTTTAAGAGTACACAGCTGTTAGTGAAATACAGACACCAGGGCAAGCAGTGACAGAGTTCCGGCACCAAAGGTCACCGGACCTTACTGCTATGGCAGCAGCCAAGAGCCACATGTTAATATTGATTTAGAACTAAAGAATCAGAATGAAAATATGACACTGAAGAAAATCAAGTACCTTCAGGTTTACGAAGAGCCAATTGTTCTGATTTCCTGGCCCTTTTGTCTACAAAGTTATAGCAAACTATACCAAGACTTAGCATTTGGGGTTACTGCCAAGACTTGTATAACTTCTCAGTATTCTTAGTTTAATTCAATTTAACTTATATTTATTAGCACTTTTTCCAGTCTGGACACTGGGCAGGAAACCTGAGAAGAACAACACCTGCTCCTCCTACCACGGAGCTCCCAGGTTGGAGGAGGAGACAGACCCACATGATTTCTACAATGTGCAGCAAGATGTGATCCCTGCTCAAGAAAGATACAAAAAATGGGCTGCGGCAAGAATAGCACACTGTAGGGTGTAGACTAGACTGAGCTCCAAAGTCTCAGTAACCAGAGAACAGTAAGCAAAGAGCACAGCTGGGATAAATCAGTTAACCCCTTCATTCCCTGCAGCCATCAAACCCTAATTCCTCCCCACCTCTGCACTTGCCTGATTTGGAAAGAACAGCAAAGCGTTGAGGCGGTGGCTAGCTCACTCTCAGGTTCTGAGCTCAGGCAATTTTACTGTGAAAAATACTTGCTTTTTCTAAAAGCTGTTCAAAGGGGGTCCGTATAGCTTATTCATAGAGCAAGTGATTTTTCCCAACAGACCCCAATTCAATTTTCCCACCCATAAAAGAAGGAAGCCAATTTCTGCTGTTATCACCAGATACCATAGTTCCATTAGCACATTTGTGCATGAGGTCTTCTGTTGAATCATTGCACACAGACCTTACCAGTGTCACTTGGAGGCAGCTAAGGAAGTCTCCTCCGAATTCCCCCTCCAGCAGCAACTGGGGACCTGCCTATCACTGCCAGGCACACCCGGGCACACTCCAGAATCCTCCCCCACGTTAGCTTGTTGCAGCCAAGACTATTTAAAGACATCAGTGGAATTCTCACTTGACCTCCTGACTCAATGGGGAATGGTAGGGCCAGGCTTCCTCCGCAGAACCCAGTAGGTCACTTACTGCAGCCGTGGCTGAAGCACACGCAGCTGTCAAACAAACACCGGCGAGTGCCAGGATCATGTCCATGAGTGTCTGCTGCTGAAGAACCACTTGGGCTCACGCTGAATTTCCATGACCTTGCTGTGGGCAGAGACGCAGGCGAGGACAGCAGCACCACACTTGTCCTGCTGAGCAATCGTTTTATTTCCTCTCCTCGCCTTTTCAGTCACTTGATCCCACAGTAACTCTACTCCAGGGAAAGAATGTGACCATATTTTGAAGGTGACCCAAGAGCTCATTATACTTTTTATAAGAAAAAAATGATATCAATTTGGTTGTCAGCTTCCATTGGTGTCTTTCAAAAGTATAGTAGCAAGGTTTTCTTTGTTAACACTCAGCACTGAGGAAATCATAAAAGTGTAGTAGTTGCCCGATGTGCTTTAGATATTGATTCTTTGTGAATACTCCTTTTTATTGATAAAGGGAAGTGCTGAGCACAAACCCGGTTAATGTGCTTAGTTATTCAAGATGCGAACGTGGAAGGAATTTGATGTAACCTTCAATGTCTTTGCTGTCAAGTCCTATAGTTTGCTGACTGATTGTGAAATGCTTCTTCCTTATCTTTTGTATTTTGAATACTGCCACGTTCAAGTAACTCCAGGTATTTCTAAAGCTTCTGAAATCAAAGCACTGAGGTGACTGGATTGGCTGCAGAGTATGTTTAGCCAAAGAATACGCGCTAATTGGGTGCTTGATGTGGGGAGCTGGCTGCTCCCATTCTTGATGATGTTGTGGTTTTCATGTCACTTGGCTCTCAGCACGGAGGGATCTCAGTGTGTGTTTAGAAGCACCTTTCGAAGCAGTTGCAAGCTTACAAGCATACAATTAAGAAGAAATCCTATGTTCACAGGAAAGGAAGACGACTGTGAAAAGACACATCTGTTCAAGGAATAATATTTCTAAATGCATAATACTGCAGGCGCATTAGAAAGAAAAATGTAGTCATTACTTAGCTTGTTGACTTAATAAATGGTTAACAGAGAAATACACTCATTCTTGGGCTTTAGTTAATAGACTGCCTTTCCGGAGTGAGGAAAGATACAGCGACTACACGACTGCACCTGGATTTCACAATAAAGTCATGCTTGTGCTGGAAAGAGATAAAAGAGGGAATGCTGTCACTATTTGTACAGATTCATTAAACTAAACCTTTTTCTTTTGGCAACGAATATTGCATTTTGAAAGTGTATTTCATATGGCTCAAAGCATATACTGAATATGCATTTTGAGAGCCGTTCATTAAAAACAGAGGAAGGTTAAAGGAATGTGGGTTCAGCTACTGGAACGCACATGCAGGTATCAACACCTGAGATTATTGGGGAGACGGAGGCCCAGAGGCTGGAATGGGATGTATTTCTCATATGCTAGGGGGAGTCCCCTGTCTAGATGGAGTCACCGAGATTCTGGTACCAATGGTGAAAAAGAGAAGATGAAGTCAGGAAATGGTCTAAAAAAATTAAAGCTGCTAAATTAAACCACTATGAAGATACTAAATACTAAATTATGGCATTATTATCTGCCACTTAAGTACCCAAATGCTCTTGATTTTCTCATTCCACAAAAGAATTATTTTCAGTACTCTGTAAGATATACTTGAGAAACACAAAATACCCAGCCAGTGTGCAATGAAGTACCAGTACCCTTGAGGTACTGTCTTAGTTTTAACTAATCCAAGAATACCAAAATACAACCCCTTCCTATATTTCAAGAAAACAAAATAAAATTAAGAGGAACATGAAAGTTATTGTAAACAATAATGGGAACAATCTTGACCTTGTTAAGATAACTTTCTACAAGTGTTTCTTTTAAGTTTCCTGTCTAGTTACATGTTGAATCCAAAGTATTACTGATTTTTTTTTTTTTTTAAAGAACAGCACAGTAATAAAAAGAGGATGAATTTGTAAGAGCTTGGGCATCATTAGGCAAGCATAACTGAAAGCCATTAGCATGAAGCTTGCTATGCAGATTTTTTTAGTAGTGCCATAGGAATCTACTTGCAAGGAGAGAGCTGATTTCCTATATGCCTCTAGACTCACTCCTTATTTCAGCACAGGACAGAAAATAAAAGGCAAACTGGAGTACCATCAGGGTATTTCTTGAAACTCCGCTCTGTCACCCAGGCTGGAGTACAGTGGCATGATCTCGGCTCAACACAACCTCCACCTCCCAGGTTCAAGTGATTCTCCTGCCCCAGCCTTCTGAGTAGCTGGGATTACAGGTGCCCGCCACCACACCTGGCTAATTTTTGTATTTTTAGTAGAGACGAGGTTTTGCCACGTTGGCCAGGCTGGTCTTGAACTCCTGACCTCAGGTGATCCGTCCGCCTCGGCCTCCCAAAATGCTGGGATTACAGGCATGAACCACTATGCCTGACGAAACTCTTAAGAGACATAGATTATGAAAAGTGTAAAGCGATACAGGCTTTGAGGGTGTGAGCTGCAGCTGCTGATGGGACATCACTTACTCACTCATGTTCTTTGATCTTGAGTGACTTGGGTTCCTCAGAAGTCAGTGTGCCTGGCCATGACACTGTGGGGAAGTGTCTGTTATCTTCCTATCTCCTAAAGGTCACGCCCACCACCCTATGTATGGCCATAAGAAGAGGCTCGGCGGGGTCCTGGGAAAGCGCTGGGCTGACAGCAGGCACGTGGATCACGTGGTGCTTACTGTGTATGTGTGTGTGTCCTGAGCCTGAGCAGGTGACATCGGGACAGGATGATGGGACATGGGGCAAAGGAGTGAGGCTCAGCTAAACACGATGCAATCCTGTGACAGCACTGCCTGAAGAGATGTGTAGACAAGTGCAAAGGCATTTAGGTGAAATTATGGGATGGCAGAGATGTGGCACGACTGCAATGGTTTGGGGAATGCACAGTCCAGCACGACAGTTACAGACATGATGGTTCCTTTGTTTTGCTTTGTCTTGAAGGGAAATTTGTGAATCCCACTGTCTCAGAGCAGGCTGCTTTATAACACCCTGATAGGCAGGCACATGGAAGGAGTCATGATATCTGGAGACACTGTGTGTCCTGTCTTTGAAAAGTGTTCCCAAGCCTCTCCTTTACCACATTATGGACCAGGATCCTTCCTGAGGTTTCAGAAAGGACCCAGGGCTGGCAGTGGTTCTCAATGTTGGCTGTTCATCAGAATACCTCCTGGTATTTCAAAAAAAGATTTGAAAGATGTTAATATAGTTGGTCTGGGGTAGACCTGGGCTTCTTACTTTGCTTAAAGCAAAGTAGGTAATTCTGTGGCTCACTCTGGGTTGTGAATGCTGATGCCAGTTCTTACCTAAACAGTCAGACATAGGACCATGAAGCCAATGGGGATGTGAGCCTGGCCATTGAAAGAGGCCGGTGAAAGAAGCGGGGCTCTGACCCTGGTCAGCAGATGGGAGCCCTGCTGGTGCCTGGTGATAAGACTCATCT